AATATAGTCATATAATATATATATATATATCATATAATGTATATATATAATATAAGTAATATATATATATATTATATTTATTGTATATATTATATATATTTATAATATATATAATATATGTAATATATATATAATATATATATATCATATATATATATTTATAATATATATAATATATGTAATATATATATAATATATATATATCATATATATATATTTATAATATATATATGTGTGTGTATGTGTGTTTGTGTGTGTGTGTAATATATATAATGCAGAATTCTCGTCCAATCTTTACTTATTTATTTTCTTAATCTCACTTAGTCGTTTTGATCTCGTTGGGATAATCAAATATCTTATCCAAGAAATTTGGATGGAATGCTTAGTAGTCGAACGGTTACTAATAGTTTTTTCCACCAAAGTTGTTGACTTATTTTACTGTACGATAGTATTCGATATATGTATGAAATATTTTAGTTGAATATACCATGGGTTTTGTTATGATTATCAAAAATAATATATGTATTATGTTAATATCCTGAAATCTTCTGGTATGTTTTAAATAAATATAGATTTTTTAATGATTGTTTCGATGTAATTAATAGTAAAACTCAAAAATGTGAGAAAAATATTTCTCTTTCCTAAAATATTTGAATTTTAATTCTGTTTAATGATAAGCCAACATAACTTTTCAGTGTTTTATACTTGAAATTGCACATTTTACTTACTATAACAAAACAAAAATGATAATAACCAGCTGCTTTAGAATATTTTTTATCAGTATCATGTGATCGACTATGCCACTATCATTTTTGTCAACGAAATTCTGAAATAATATTTTAAAGGCAAATAATTCAGTTTGATTAGAAACTAAAATTCCTTAAACGCATAAGCACACATATATATATATATATATAAGTGCATATGTACAACATTTTTTAGCTAGTCCATTAAGAATTCAGATGCCTACTATTACACACAAAAGGAAATGGTTAAAGAGGTAGCATAGGAGTAAATAAATTAATTTCTTTAGATAATATGTGGAAATAACCATTCTTCGCCTGTTGAAGATCACAAGACCCGAAACCCGCGTACCAAATTATATAGAATAAAGTATATAAAAACCCACAGTATATTAAAAAAATGTTTTGTTTTTCTCTTTTAAAAAGATACATATGTTTATATAGACACTTATATATATATATATATATATATATATATATATATATATATATATATATATGAATATATATTTATATATATACATATTCACATATATGTATTTACATATGTATATATATTACATTTACATCTATCCATCTCTCTATCTATCTATCTATCTATCTATCTATCTATCTATCTCTCTCTCTCTCTCTATATATATATATATATATATATATATAGAGAGAGAGAGAGAGAGAGAGACAATTGAATATATGTGCATCTAAATTGATAGACATAAATCGAAAAATTATAGTTAAATTAATTCAAAAACACATAGACATATACGTACATTTACACAGATGCACATACTTATGTACACATCCATTTATATTTAAACATGAAGAATTTTTTCTCTATAGTTTCATTTATGTGTGTATTTAATATATAAATAAATAGTTACATACATCCATGTCACCTTTCCATATGACAATGTTAATTAAAGTAATCTCACAAAATTACTCCTATTCTGTGAGTTCGATCTGAGTTGTCTTACACCTGCTTTTTTTCATTAGAAAGCACTTACATATTTATGTATAAAATCGCTTAAATAAATACTTTATATTCTCCATATACATGTAATTTAAAGAAAATTGACTTAAAAGAATAAATATCCACTTAAGTTCAGCTTTGTTGATTTCTTATTTATACCAGTATAATTGGATATAATTTAACTATAAATAATTAAGTTTACTTAGGAATATGTTGTTCTTCTTTCCCATAAAACGGATTGAATAAGGGAATATATTTCTGTAGTATTTAAAGGTAATATAAGCATATTATTATTAAACTTTACCTGCAATTTAATGTCTTCAAAAATCTTCGCTGAAAGAATGTGATTAACTTGAAAACTCCTGAAATGAAGCAGTAGATAGAATAAATACAAATAAGTTAATTTTTTAAACTTCAGGTTGTTGAATATCAAGGGTTTCACATTTAAAACATTTACCTCTTAAAAATATCGAATGTTACGATGAAAATTACGCATATATAATTTTTCCAACGATATTGCACACTTAAATATACACACTCACATATTTTCATCTATGTAAGCATACACAGATATATATTATTTTACATACACGTGTGTATAGGCAATATTGACTTGCAATCATACATACATACGTACGATTATTTAAATATTTATGTTATTTTTATTTAATGTTATTTACATAAACTATATTTTTTAGATTAAAAATAAAACCCATACATGTCTACA